GCCTTGCTGGCCCAGAGAGAAAGCCAAGTGCCTTCAGGAAGAAGGCTTGCTGGTGGAAGTGGGGTGAAACCATCAGCAGAGTTGAAAGAGCTTTTTAACACTTGCCCAAGCAAGGGAAAGGCCAGGCTGAGAAGCTGAGGGATAAACAGAGGCACACCTGTGGGTATAGTCAAGGGGAGGCTGTCCTGATCGAAGAATTGCACCCTGAGCATTCCTGAATCTGAATCGTAACCTGTTACTTCCCTAATATACTCCATCATCATGAGTATTGTGTATGAGTTCTGTGCGGCCACTGCAATTGAACCCAGCAGCTGTTGTCAGAATTGGTTGGAGGATGGCAGCATGTCTGACCTTGTAAGAATCAGCCTTGGGCTGGTATTGCTGATGGTGATTCTCTCTTCCCTTCATGAAGTCAGAGGAAGTCAGAGGATGCCATTTCCTGGCCTTTTTTGCATCTACCATATAACCCAGCAATACCAATCCTAGGTAGATACCCAAAAGCACTGAAAATAGGTATTCAAAGAAATACATGTACATGAACATTCATATCATCCCTAATCATAATAGCCAATGAATGAAAACAATTCAAATGTCTATCAAGTGATAAATGGATAAATAAAATGTGGTATATTCATACAACAGAATATTATCATCCAGCCATAAAAAGGAATGAAATACTGGTAATATGCTATAACATGGATGAACTTTGAAAACTATACTAGGTGATTAGGTAACTATGCTAAGTTATGCTGAGTGAAAAAAGTCATCCAAAGGTAACATTTTGTATGATTTCATTTATAGGAAATCTCCATAATAGATAAATCCAGAGAGACAGAAAGCAGATTACTGATTGCCAGGGGCTGAGACAGGCAAGGAGAATGAGGAGTAACTGTTCAGTGGCTGTGCAGTTTCCTCTTTAGGTGATGTAAATGTTTTGGAACTAGATAGAGGTGATGCACAATACTTCTATTGTGAGTGTAGTAAATGTCACTGAATTGTACACTTTAAAAGGGTTACTTTTACGTTAGGTGAATTTTACCTAATTTTTTTAAACTGAGTTGTTTAGGTATTTTAGTCATTTGGCTAACATGGCAGGATAATGTGGTATTGAAGAGGCCTGAGTACAGTCTCAGCTTTCTTACTTCCAACTAAATGTTTTTAAGCAAGTCACTTATCCTCTCTCTTCTTTAGTTTCTTATCCCTGACGCCAAATAAATAAGAGTATTCATAAGATTGTAAGAGGGAAAATCTCAGACTATTTGGGGGTCACATGTTGATTTGAGTGAGGGGAGCAACAGTATGGAAAGAGTCTGTGACCAGCATGGTGACAATGAGGAAGGGAAAGACATCAAAATATACATAAAAGATATAGACAACAGAGGCAAACACTATGACAAGTACAACACTGCAGCATCACTAGCACTAAATACCAGGTTACAGATTAATTCATAGACAGGTGAGAAGAGCAGGTGGAGGTAGGTGAACAGGAATACACCCTAAACCAAGGACAGATTTGGCTGAAGATAATCTTAGATATGCACTGGTGCTACAAAATTAGCCACATACATTAAAATAAATAAATAAATAAAAGATAAGAATTAAATGAGCCAACATATTGGAAATGCACAGAATGATGCCTAGCACAGAATAAGCACTGAACAACAAAAACAAACAAACAAACAAAAAACCACTGCTGCCAAGTTGATTTTGACTCATAGCAAACCTGTAGGAAAAAGAACTGTCCCATCATGTTTCCAAGGCAGTAAATCTTTATGGAAGTAGTCTGCCACATCGCTCTCTCCTGGAGCAACTGGTGGGTTCAAACCATCAACCTTTTGGTTAGCAGCTAAATGCTTAACCACTGTTCCACCAGGGCTCCTCAAGTGTTCAAGAAATAGTTTTAAAAAAAAAAGCATCAAGTTGATTCCAACTCATGGCAATCCGTGTGTGTCAGAGCAGAACGTGTTTCACAGAGTTTTCAGCGGCTGATTTTTTTAAAGTAGACAGCCAGGCCTTTCTTCTGAGGCACCTCTGGGTAGACCTGAACCTTCAACCTTTCAGTTAGCAGCCAAGTGTATTAACCATTTGCACCACCTAGGCATTCCCGATAAATATTAGTTACTATTATTTTTATGACAATCAAAACAACAATGATTTTCTATAAGGACCGAGAATTCTAAGATGCTTTTTTCAAAGACAACATAAATTCAGAAATTTACTTTCAGTAACTGCTAGACTAGAAACAAATATTGAAGGGGAGGAAAAAAAGTTGCCATCAAGTTGACTTTGACTCATGGTGACCCTATGTGTATCAGAATAGAACTGTACACCACAGAATTTTCTACGGCAGATTTTTCAGAAGTAGCCTTTCTTCTGAGGTACACCTTGGTGGCCTTGAACTTCCAACCTTTTGATTAACAGCTGAGCACATTTATCCTTTGCACCACCCAGTGACTCCAAGCAGATAATATAAGGGCTTAAAGTAAAGATCTCCCATTTAACTCTAGTTTCTAGAAAAGGAGTATTGAGCACAGAGCCAAATGCTGTGTGATTCCTATGAGACTGGTTACCATCTCTTAGCAGCATTCATGGCATGAACAGAGCAAATATCACGTTATTTCAAAAAAGTAAGTAGCAGGTAATCTTTCTTTTTGAAAAAACAAAAAGACAATTCAGAACTAAATAATGTCAAATGAAACTAGGACAAGACATATGTTTTGGTTACGTAGTGCTGCTCTGACAAGAATATACCACAAATGGGATGCCCTTAACAAAGAGGAGTTTATTCTTACAATTTGAAGGCTTTAAGTCCAAGCTCAAAGTGCCAAGCCCTAGGGGTGGGTGAAAGCCCCTCAAACTTGGAGTCCAGCTCTGCCTCCTGCTCTCAGCCCACTAGAGCTAGAGGCTTTTCTTCAGATAGCTGCTGGCTGCTGAGGCTGAGAAGCCCAAGGCTGATAAGTAAAAAGGCACAGTCCGATGTTACCAAACCGTATGGCAGGTCATTAACTCAAGTCATTGTAAGTTCCAGGTTCGGCAAAGCATGGCAGGCTGCTGAACAACGACACAGCTACATGCAGGGTCCAAGCGTGCCACAAGCTAGAGACCATTCCCAAAGCTCCTGCTCATATACAGGAAGCAGACCACATATCCAAAGGCAGCTACCCAGCTGCTCACAGTAGATTCCACCATGGTGTTGATTACCAGTCTCATCAAGGGGAATACTACATCCAGCTGCCCAGCCACTCAACCAGGCCCAGCCAAGTTGACACAAAAACATAATCACCACAATTCCACCCCTTGTCAACTTGGCACCTGTACAGATCTTCAATGGGTGGTATCTGTACAGGTCTCCTCCACTGGGTGGCTCCAGTCCTCTAGTTCCTGAGTGGTGATGTCACCCCCTTGGCCTGGTGGGGCCCCAATGGGCCTCTTGGGCATGGCAGCCCCGCCCCCTCACTCTTGGGCAGTGTCTATGGCTCCGTCCCACTGGCTCACATGAATAAGCAGCCCCACATTCCAGAACCAAATTGGCTCTGAAATCTAAGGGGCTGTGGTGGTTCCACCCCCCAAAGGCCATGGTCCTACCCTTTCAAGCTGAGGCAGCTCTGCTTCTGTTTCCTTGGTCTCTCCACTTTTGCTGATTAATGCCAAAGGGCAACCCACTCTGCCAGAAATCTTCGTGCCCCCCAAAAAAGCACTCAGCTTTCTTAATCCATGGGCCAGCCAACCTGCTACTCCATCTCATGCCAGTCTCTTCCACCAGTTAATGCCCAAAGGCAACCCACTCCACCAGTAAGCCACCTAACCAAAGGCTTCAAGCTTTCTCCTCTGAAGGCAGGTAAGGCTGTTGCTGTCTCATGCTGGTTCTCTCAGCTCTGCTCCTGCCGTCTCTCATGCCAGTCTCTGGGCTCTGCTTCTGCCGTCTTTCATGCTGATCTCTTGCTCTGCTCCTGCCATCTGTCATGCCATATGCTAGGGTCTCTCTGCCAGGGTCTCAGGTCAAGGATGCACTCCACTCCTGTTTCCACATTTTAGGTATCTGTCAGAGCAGCACCCCACTCTCTCGGTAACAAATTCTGTTCTGGTTACCTAGTGCCACTCTGACGAGAATATACCACAAATGGGATGGCCTTAACAAACATGAGTTTATTCTCTTACAGTTTGGAGACTTTAAGTCCAAGTTAAAAGTGCCAAGCCCTAGGGGCTGGGTGAAAGCCCCTCAAACTTGGGGTCCAGCTCTGCCTCCTGCTCCCAGCCCACTGGAGCTAGAGGCGTTTTTTCACTCAGACAGCTACTGGCTGCTGAGGCTGAGAAGCCCAAAGTAAAAAGGCACAGTCCGATGTTACCAAACCACACGGCAGGCCATTAATTCAAGTCCATTGTAAGTCCCAGGTTCGGCAGAGCATGGCAGGCTGCTGAACAACGACACGGCTACATGCAGGGTCCAAACGTGCCATAAGCTAGAGACCATTCCCAAAGCGCCTGCTTATATACAGGAAGTAGACCACATACTCAAAGGCAGCTACTCAGCTGCTCACAGTAGATTCCACCATGGAGTTGACTACCAGTCTCATTATGGGGAATACTACATCTAGCTGCCCAGCCACTCAACCAGGCCTAGCAAAGTTGACACAAAAACATGACCACCATAACATATCACTAAAAAAATTCTAAACAACACTCAAGAGAATGTGAAATTTCTCATTAAACACTTCAAAAATACTTCAATGAATTAAAATAGGCAGCAAAAAGAGCAAAGTGGCGCTGTCAAATTTAAATAACTCTGTAAGTGGTACTGGGAGCCATGTAACCAAGGAACCAGATTAACTAGATTCTCTTCTGTGTGCTGTGGAACCAAATCTAGCCTACAGGTGGAAGTAACTAGGTATAACTACCCTCCTTGCGCACACAAACCACACACACAGATGCACACAAAGACATCTTTGAAGATTATAAGCAGTTATATAAAGAAAGAGGAATAAGTAAGTCGAATTTCTTACCCTCTTCTGGTTCATCCTCCTGGGGTGACATTGGCCCCCCTCCACTAGTAGGAGTGATTGGTTCCTCCTTCTCAGACTCTCGCTGTAGACTCACCACCTCATATATTGCATCTCCAGCATTGGTATGGCCTTTTCCCTCAGACTGAGAAAGACAAAAAATGTGTTTTAATATTAGAAAACTGAAGAACTTTCAAAGACTACATTTCAATGGTTCATTTTTCAATCATTCAATATTTCAATGGTCATTTTGATAGGCAACATGTCTGAAGTTGAAAAAAATAACTTTTAAAGTATATTTTTCTTCACAAGATATTTTAAATATAAATGTATGGCTCCTCTGGTATTGTTTTAACCAATACAGTAAAATATACTGACCATGTGGGAAGAAAATTTACTTTTATCAGAAAAACATGTGTCACCACAGGTTTTCAGTCAGACAGGTAAGCAAGTACCTCAGCCCTCAGTACCTGCGGGTTCCATGTCCACAGATTCAACCAACCACGTATTGAAAATATTTGGGGTGGGGAAAAAATTAAGTGATCAAAGCAATCCCTCAAAGGCCAACAGGAGCGTTAACATGCTATTCACACAGAATTTACACTATATTACAAATTATAAGTAATCTAGAGATGATTTGAAGTATATAAGAGGATATGCATTAAAAAAAGAGGATATGCATACACTATATGCAAATACTACACCATTTTAAGGAACTCTCATGGTATGATGCCTAAGGCATTTGACTGCTGTTTTGGTTACTTAGGGCCACTCTGACAGGCATATACCACAAATGGGATGGCTTGAACAAACAGGAGTTTATTCTCTTAGTTTGGAGGCTTTAAGTCTAAGTTCAAGGTGCTAGGCTCTAGGGGCTGGGTGAAAGCCCCTCAACCTGGGGCTTCAGCTCTGCCTTCTGCTCCCAGCCCACTAAAGCTAGAGGCTTTTCACTCAGTCAGCTGCTGCCTGCTGAGACTGAGAAGCCTAAGGTTGACAAGTAAAAAGGCACAGTCCAGATGTTACCACATGGCAGGCCATTCATTCAAGTCCATTGAAAGTCCCAAAATCGGCTGAGCATGCCAGGCTGCTGAACAACATGGCTACATGCAGGCTTCAAGCATGCCATAAGCTAGAGACCATTCCCCAAAGCTTCTCCTTACATATAGGAAGCAGATCACATCCCTAAGGCAGCTACTCAGCTGCTTGTGGTAGATCCTACCAAGGAGTTGTTACCAGTCTCATCATGGGGAATACTACATTCAGCTGTCCAGCCAGCCACTCAACAAGGCCCAGCCAAGTTGAAACACAAACTTAACTACCACAACTGCTAACTAGATGGTTGGCGGTTCAAACCACTTTATATAAGGGACTTGAACATTCAGAGATTTTGGTATCCAGGAGGTTCCTGGGAGCAATCTTGGGTGAATACCAAGGGATACCAACAATGCTAGATTCTTAGAACTGACTACTTTGTACTAACATAAATAAATGTCAGCTACATCCATCAACTAATTCATGGAAAGCAATAGTTTTTACCTAAAACTAAAAAATGTCAGGAGCTCTGGTAGGTAGTGCCTAAGGCAGCTGACTGCTAACCAGAAGGCTGGTGGTTCAAACCCATCAGCCACTCCTGGGAAGGAAGGTTGGGCAATCTACTTCCATAGTGATTCTGCCTCAGAAACCCAAGGAGGGGTCGCTATGAGTCAGGTCCGATCGATGGCACAAAACAACAACAACAAAACTAAAAGTAGAAAAAAAAAAAACAGCTAGCCATGGAAAGATAAATTATTAAGTTTCAACCAACCAAAGTTTTATTGCATTTCTATTATACTCAAGAAATGAAGATCCCAATCCATACAGCAACCACTAAAAGAACCATGCAAAGAGATACAGTAAAAATGAATTTAAAAAAATTCAAATAATCCAAAGAAGTACAGGAAACACAGAACTGGAGGACACATAAGAAAATAAATAATAAAATGGTAGACCTAAATTCAAAGACCTCAAGAGTTGTATTAAATATAAAAGGTCTAAATATAACAATTTAAAGACAAAGACTATCACACTACATTAAAAACAAGACATACTTTCATACTGTCCACAACAAATATAATGATACAGCAAGTTAAAATAAGGGAAAAATATTTCTGAGAAAAAGAAACTCCAGGCCCCAAAGGCTTCAATGACAACTTCTATCAACTATTCACAGAAAAAATAACATCAATGCTAAAATAATCTCTTCTAGAAAACTTAAAAAAAAAAAAAAACACCAGTATTTTCAACTCATTACATGAGACCAGCATTACCTTGCTACCAAAGCCACAGTAATCATTACAAGAAAAGCAAAGCACAGACCAATATCCCTCAAAAACAGACAAAAATATTCAATCAAATGTTCACAAATGAAATCCAACTATGTATGTATGTGTGTACGTAAATACATACATACACACACATACATATGTTATTGTTAGGTCCTGCCAAGTCAATTGTTGACTCAGAGCAACCCCATGTGACAAAGCAGAACTGCCCCCATAGGATTTCCTAGAGCTGAAATCTTTATGGGAGTAGATCGCCAAGTCTTTCTCCTTTGGAGTCACTGGGTAAATTTGAACTACCAACACTTCAATTAGCAGCCAAGTATTTAACCATTGTGCCACTAGGCCTCTTTCTCTATATATAATACATCACAATCAATGAGGCTTATCTGGGGAATGTAATGCTGGGTCAACATTCAAATATCAATCAATGTAATCTACCATATTAATAGACTAAAGAAGAAAGGCCATATAATCACATTAATTGATGCAGAAAAAGTGACAAAATTCAGCATTTATTCATGATAAAAAAAACTTTAAATAAACCAGGAAAACAATAAACGAAGCTTCCTTAATTGGATAGAGTTATTATGAAAAACTTATAACAATTATCATGCTTAGGAATCCCTAGGTGGTGCAAACACATAAGTTCTGGGCTACTAACCAAAAGGTTGGTGGTTCAAATTCACCAGAGGTGCCTTGGAAGGAAGGCCTGGAAATCTACTTCCAAAAGACCACAGTCATTGAAAAACCTATGAAGCACAGTTCTACTCTGAAATACGTGGAGTCAGGTCACCACGAGTCAGAACTGACTAGATGGCAGCTAGTTTGTTTAATATCATACTAATGGTGAAAGCCATTACTCGCCTGTCAGTTTGTCATACTGTGATAGCTTGTATGTGGCTGTAAGGCTAGAGGCTATGACATCAGTATTTCAAATACCACCAGTGTCATCCACAGTGGACAGGTTTCAGTGGAGATTCCAGACTAAGACTGAGAAGAAGGACAAATCAATCCACTTCTGAAAAATTGGCTGGGGAAAACCTTATGAAAAGCAGTGAACCACTCACTGTCTGATGTATTACAGGAAAACTTTATGAACAGCCATGAAACATCATCTGATATAGTGCAGGAAGATGAGCACCTCATGTTGGAAGTCACTAAAAATACAACTGGGGAAGAGCTGCCCCCTCAAAGTAGAGCTGACCTTAATGACGTGGATGGAGCAAAGCTTTTGGGACCTTCATTTGCTGATGAAGCACAACTCAAAATGGGAAGAAACAGTTGTAAATGTACATTAATAATTAGAACACGGAATGTATGAAGTATGAATTTAAGAAAACTGAAAGTTGTCCAAATTGAAATGCATGCATAAAGATTGATATCCTAGGCATTAATGAGCTGAAATGGACTGGTAATAACCATTCTGAATCAGACAATCATATGATCTACTATGTTAGGAATGGCAAACTGAAAAGGAATGGCGTCAGATTCATCGTCAAAAACAATATTTCAAGATCCATCCTGAAGTACAATGCTGTCAATGAAAAAATAATATCCATATGTCTACAAAGAAGACCAGTTAATACTACTATCATTGCAATTTATGCATGAACCCCTTAAGTCAAAGATGAAGAAACTTAGTATTTTTACCAACTTCTGCAGTCTGAAATCAACCAAACATACAATCAATGTGTAATGATTACAATCACAGGAGAACAGAAGGGCAGTGTTTGCACAAGGGAGACAGCTCTGGAAGGTGGGAGAGGGGGCAGGAGCACATGGAAGGGAAGGACACAGGGAAGAGGTAACTACAGGGAGGAAGTGGAAAGAGAGCTGTTACATTGTGGGGAATTGCAGTCAATGTCATGAGACAAAATATGTATGAACTGTTCTATGCAAAATGAATTTTCTCTGTAAACTTTCACCCAAATCACAATAAAAGTTAACAAAAAAAAAGATGTAATAATTATTACTGGTGGCTGGAACATGAAATTTGGAAATAAAAAAGAATCATCAGTATTTAGAAAGTACGGCCTTGGTGATACAAATGATGCCAAAGATTACATACATAGAATTTTGTAAGACCAATGACTTATTTCTTGCAAATACCCTTTTTCAACAACGTAAACAGTGACTATACACATGGACCTCACCAAAGGAATACACAGGAATCAAACTGACAACATCTGTGGAAAGACGCAATGGAGAAGCTCTCAATATCATCAGTCAAAACAACGCCAAGAACTGACTGTGGAACAGACCATCAATTGCTCATATGCAAGTTCAAATTGAAGCTGAAGACAATTAAAACAAGTCCATGAGAAGCAAAATATGACTTTGATTATATCCTACCTGAATTTAGAGACCATCTGAAAAACAGATTTGATGCATTGAATCCCAATTACCAAAGACCAGACAACCTGTGGGATGACATCAAGGACATCATACATGAAGAAAGCAAAAGGTCATTCAAAAGACAGAAAAGGAAGAAAAGACCAAAATAGATGTCAGAAGAGACTCTGAAACTTGCTGTTGAATGGAAATTAGCTAAAGCAAATGGAAGAAATGATGAAA